AGGGATGTGGGAAGATGGAAGAGACCCTGAAGCCAGCCTCAGCTTCTTAGTGATTTCAAGTCCACCTGGGCTATAGTGTGAGACCCTATCTCAAAAACAAAAACATTCTTTTTTTAAATTATTGTTTTCATACATGTATGTATATATTGTACGTTATATTCCCTCCATTCTTTTGTGTTTGTCAAACATGGCACATTTTAAATAATTATTTCTTCTGTCTTGTTCATGTAAGACTGTTTGCATTCCCTTTTTTAAAAATGTGCCTATTTCTGGTTTTGTGTTGGGATATTGTTTCTGGGGATAGTTCATTTAGCACCTCTTTTACTGGGGTAATAGGACAGTTGCAACCAACTGTACTAACTTTCTTGAATTTGGTTCCATAGACAATATATTTGCAGAATAGCTATTTAGGATTTAATCCAAGTGCATTATAGGATTACAGCATGCAACTACTATGGTAGTCCTTGTATGCCAACATATACCCAAGTTCAGAAGCCACTATGGTACATATTTAGACCTTAACTTATTATGGAAGGAAACTTGGTGGTACCACAACTTGGACAGTATGGGAGTTGTGATGCCTGGTAAGCACCAAGTGGTTATTTATGCACCCCACTTTCCAAAACTTTACAAAACTAGTGTGCATTATGAGAATATGTAAGTAGATTGGAAACTCACATTATTGGGTATTTGCCATATTTTGGCTTTCTCCAGAAATTTAACACAGTCTCTGAGCCTTCAGAATTTAGTTACCCAACATTGCTTGCCAGAACTGCAGGAAGAGGAGAGACCTGTAGTTCCTAGGAAACTCCCAAGTTTGGGACAAGAACCCCTATTATTCACTTAAAGGGAAATCTGGGTAAAATATGTAGGCTTGAATTCAGTTAGGTTCTTCTTGTGAGAGGATTTGTGTCAGAAAATTAGTGGCATGGTTTCACACAATCTCAAGATTCTAAATGGCAAAGATTTACTTAGTAATGACTTCCGTATTTGCTCTTCCACGAAAGGACTAATAATCAGGCTGGCCAAGGCATGTTCAAGAATTATTTTCCTATACTTCACCCAAACCTTGGTTTTAAGAAACCCTGTAGCAAAAGTAAAGTGGCATTCCTTCCATTGCCTTTACACTGTAACAAGCCTCTGCCTTCTCTAAATGGGGCAATAGTATCTACATGATAAACTAGTGATGCCGTCCACTTCCGATACCTTCAACCAGACTTTGTAGACGAACAACAGGATGAATGAGGCAGATCTTTGAGATTACACAATTATTACAGAGTTTGCTGTTAACCTAATTTTACACCAACAGTGGATAGATTGATTTCTCTGTCACTTAAAATTGTTCTGTATTGTACACACGATTGATTGTTCAACTAAAGACATTAGGAAACCAAGTTTTTATGTAGACTTATCTTTTTTTTTTTCTTTTTTTTTTTTTCGAGACAGGGTTTCTCTGAAGGTTTGGAGGCTGTCCTGGAACTCTCTTTGAAGACCAGTCGTGCCTCGAACTCAGAGATCCGCCTGCCTCGGCCTCCTGAGTGCTGGGATTAAAGGCGTGTGCCACCAACACTCGGCTTATGTAGACTATCTTTACCATATGATGCTCTTTAAGACTCTTATAAAACATGATTTAAATCCTCAAAAATTCACTTGTATCATGAGCAAATTTAGATTATGCTAGGTGTTTTTTGCTACAGCATTAAACAAGACTACTGAGTTTGGCTGTGATTTATTTTAGGGACTTTTGTTTTGTTTTTTTTCGAGACAGGGTTTCTCTGTGGCTTTGGAGGCTGTCCTGGAACTAGCTCTTGTAGATCAGGCTGGTCTCAAACTCACAGAGATCTGCCTGCCTCTGCCTCCCGAGTGCTGGGATCAAAGGCGTGCGCCACCACCACCTGGCTATTTTAGGGACTTTAATGAGAAGAAAGCTTTGAGACTTTATTCAAAACAGTTTTTTTTTTTTTTTTTTTTTTGTCTGGTGTGGTTTTTCAAGACAAGGCTTCTCTGTGTAGCCCTCCCTGGCTGCTTTGAGACCTGGCTGGCCTTGAACTCAAAGATCTGCCTGCCTTGCCTCTGTCTCTTGGAATGCTGGGATTAAAGGTGTGTGCACTACTACTACCACCACTACCACACCTGGCTAAAACAGTTTCATTGAAATATCAATTAGTGTAATTAGTTATCTAAGTTAAAGATTTCAGAAATTATAAGAAAATAAAGGAAATATATCTTTTAAGACAAAGGAAATGTAGCACTGGGCCACTCAGGACTTTCAGGTTGGATTGGATTGCCTAGACTTGGTGGTCTGTGTCTATAATCCCAGCATTTAGGAGGTGAAGGCAGAACAGGAGTGAAGGTCTTAATGTGCTACAGAACGAGTTTGAAGCCAACCTGGGCTCCATGAGGCACCATCTCAAAAAAAAAAAAAAAAAAAAAGCAAAAAACTTAAAGATTGGATTGGATGCATTGAGCACAAAGAACAGATTTGATGATTCAGGCTTGAGCGACCTTGCTGTTCCCCGATTTACAGTTCTCATTTCCCTATGACACCTTTCTTAAAATAGCACTATTTCATCAGACTATTTATTTACAAATTCTAAGCAAAGGAGGCATGTCTGATTTTGTGTTAGATATAAATGTAAGTTTATAAGCTATTATTGGCAAATGTCCGTCAGATTTGGTCACAACCCTAATTCTCTTGTTGAACAAGACAAATGAGTTAGATTACTTTAATCCATTTTACTCTTCTCCTCTTAATGAGAAATTGCTCTATGAAGTTCTTTTAAATGTATTGCACTGTATCCCCCCCCCTTCATTCGTTTTTTTGCTCAGGCAACCAAGGGTATAGAATATTGAAAGAAAAACATGGATGCTTTTGTATAGGCCATCTGTACATAAAAGTGTAATTATTTATTTAATTTTCCCATTTGTACCATATTAAAGCTTTGTACAGTGTTTTAAGTTCTGTTTTAAAATTATTTTGTATTTTATTTTTATAATCTAGTAATAAAACATTCAGTACGCATGCAAACTTTAGTGCTGTTCGTGTGATGGTTTGGATTTCAAAAAGTGGAAAATATTTCCTAATATACAGAGTGTTACAGATTCAGTAAACCAGAAGTGATTAAATGACCAAGAAAAGGGCATTTGGGGCTAACTGAATAGAAGAGGGATTCCTGGTCTCTACTCTTTGTCACCAAGCGGTCTTCCTTTGAAGGAGAGAACACAGGGCAATTCACTGCTGCTTTGCCTTTGTTTTTCTCAACTAGATCCCTATCTTGGTTTTTGGGGGTTTTTTTTGTTTTGTTTTGTTTTTTTAATAAGAACAACATCAAAAATCTCTCATATTTTTCAAAATAAGGGACTAACAAGAGATTTAGCCCCAGGGTTAACCAGCAAGTGGGGGATGTTCATGAGTGTGTCCAGGGAATCAAACACCTGCAGAAACGCCTTACTCTTCCAGAAGCTAATCGTAAAAATGCTTGACCTCTCAAGTACGAGAAGCTGAAATACTCGCCTGATGTAAACAGTTTCATACAGTGGACAATTCTGTGTGTAGACTGTCCTGAGGACCTTTAAGGTCTCAGCAGGAGACCACTGGAAAGCTTGGCCAGTGGTGAAAAGTCAGCTTTTGAGAAGGGGAAAAAAAGG